GTAGGGGCACCTGGAAGTAAAGTTATTGTGACGACCCGCAAGACCAAGGTTGCATCGGTCATGAACTCTTTTCAGCCTTATGATCTCAAGGTTTTGTCAGAAGAAGAGGCTATGTCTTTATTTGCTCAATATGCAWTAGACGAACAWAACTTTGACAAGCATCCAAMACTTAAATTGCATGGTGAAGGCATTGTGAAGAAATGCGGCAGATTGCCCTTGGCTTTGATAACGCTTGGAAGGATGTTGAGGACAAAAACAGAGGATGATGAATGGGAGGAGGTGCTGAATAATGAGATATGGAATTTGGACGATGGAAGAGAGATTCTTCCGGCTCTGAGATTAAGCTACTATGACCTCCCTTCACATTTGAAGCAATTGTTTGCATATTGCTCCTTATTTCCTAAGGACTATGTGTTTGACAAGAACAAGCTCGTCTTATTGTGGATGGCAGAAGGGTTCTTGAACCAATCAAATGGAAGGAAATCGAAGGAGAGKTTGGGTCGTGAGTATTTTGAAGAGCTAAAGTCAAGGTCCTTTTTTCAGACGTCAACTATTGAGCAATCGCGATACATAATGCATGACTTGATTAATGACTTGGCCACAAGTGTTGCTGGAGAGTTTTTCTTTAGGTTGGATGATAAAATGGACACGTATGACATGAATGAATCTTTCGAAAAGTTCCGTCATGTTTCATTTATTGGTCGAGAATATGGAACATATAGAAAGTTCAAGGAATTACAAAGAGCTAGAGGCTTGCGAACTTTCTTACCTGTTTCACTTAATTCCTGGTCAGGTTTCGACTTATCAAACAAGGTTCTTGTCGAATTACTTCCCCAACTACAGTTCTTAAAGGTGCTAAGCCTATATAATCATTCGATATCTGAGATACCACATTCCATTGGTAGTCTCAAGCATATTCGATACCTCAATTTTTCATATACTAACATCGAACGGTTACCGGAACAAGTCAGTGACCTCTATAATCTACAAAGGTTGTTGGTTTGTCGTTGTGAGAAGTTATCTAACTTGCCCATCAGTTTTGTTAAGTTGATAAACCTACGACATCTTGATATCAGCGATACTCCTATGTTGAACAAGATGCCCTTGGGTATCGGTGGGTTGACGGGTCTACAAATTCTACCTAAGGTCATTATTGAAGGAGGTAATGGGTTTAAAATATCCGAGCTTAAGGGTCTATCAGATCTTGAAGGTCGGCTTTCCATTATGGGGCTTGATAAAGTGAAAAGTCCTATCCAAGCAAATGATGCCAAGTTGCAAGAAAAGAAGGGTCTTGATGATTTGGTGATGGAATGGAGTGATGACTTTGATAATTCTCGGAATCATACGAGTGAATATGAAGTACTTGAAGGGCTAAGGCCTCATTATAAGTTGAGAGAGCTTGAGATTTTGTTCTATGGGGGAATGAAATTTCCTAGTTGGKTCGGGAATCCCTCGTTTGATCGGTTAACAGAACTTAVATTACGTGGTTGTAGAAGGTGTACATGTTTACCAGCACTCGGACATCTACAGTCGCTTAAGGAGTTGTATGTGGAAGGCATGGATGGGGTAAAGACCTTGGGTTTGGAGTTGTTTGGACCTACTGATTCTTCCCACGGCATTGTATTTCCATCACTTGAAACTTTGAGATTTGATGATATGCAAGGTTGGGAGAGATGGTCAACTAGACGTGGGGACAATGATGGAATTGCTAGATCGTTTCCTCGGCTTGGTAATGTTTTTATAAGGGATTGTCCAAAACTAGTTGAAATCTCAATTGATTTAATACCGTCACTTGGGGATTTACATATAGAAGGATGTTCTAAAGATGTATTTAACAGCATGGTTGGTGCGTCTTCATCAATTCGTGTGTTGAGAATAGAGAATATTGAAGGACTTGCTCAACTAAATGGAGAGCTTCTTGGGGCAGTTGAACATCTAAGAATCCTTGGATGTGATGAGTTGAGATATTTGTGTGAATCAGAGTCGGAGGCGTGCAAGTTTCTTGTGAGCTTAAGGGAGTTGGAAATATGTTATTGTGAAAATTTGGTATCATTGCACGAGCTCCCATCGTCTCTAAGGGTTCTTTGGGTTTATGCTTGTTATAACTTAGAATCCATTTCAGATAAAGGTTTTGGAATCATTCCCCTGGAACATCTTCAGATTAGTGATTGTAAGAATCTGAAGTCATTTCCTCTTGAGCATTTGGAAAGTCTCACATCTTTGAGAAGGTTGGAGATATCTCGTTGTCCAAGTATGAATTACTCATTTCCTTGTGGGTTGTGGCCTCCTAATTTGAGAGACCTAACAATAGGATGCTTAAACAAGCCCATGTCAAAATGGGGGATTCAAAATTACCCAACATCACTTGTTCATCTAACCTTATTCGGAGAAAATTCAGGAGTAGTTTCATTTGTTGCAAATGCAAAAGATGTGACTTCAACATCGTTTCTTCTTCCACCATCTCTAATGACTCTATTGATCAATGATTTTATGGAGTTGGAATTAGTTTCAGAGGCCTTACAACGCCTCCCATGCCTTAAGAACCTTTATATCTCCTCATGCCCGAAACTTGAAGATCTACGGGAGACAAATATTACCGGCCCATCCTCTTTGAGAATTGAGTATTGGTAGAAAAGGCAACTACAAGATGGCTAGTGACAGATCATTTCTCAAATCCTGTGAATTATTTGATCCTGGTACGTCATCTCTTTCTCTTATGGAGTCTTAAAAAAAGATGGTGTTTTTTGGTGGATTGGGATCACGTGATACCAATTTGTTTTCGTGAAACCACTTTTTTATACTTGGTGAAGGTTCAGATTCTTTTTAGCTTCACAATGTTTTGTTGTGAAATTTTAATTGTAATTTATCTAGAAACATATTTTTTCTAATTAATATGTGATTGTTATTTTTATAAAATAATGATGTAAAATGAAAAAGGAAAAAAGTAAGATGTTTATCCGGTACTTGATTATGTTTATCTATGATTAGTTACATGAACTCAAAAATGAAGTTTTAATAAGTCATATTTACATGCAATTTACTTGTGATCCTGAATTTTAAGTAATTTTACGTAACAAATCCTCATCATTACTGAAAATTCGAAGTCGAAGTTGACATTACCTGATATTCGTTATCTTTTTTTTGTCTCGACATTCTTTTTATTCTATTTTCTTAAAAATCAAAATATTGATGATTTCCCGTAGCTGGGCCATAGTCCAGAGCGAGTCCGTGTTTAGTCTATCGCCTCCTTGTGATTGACATGTATGCTACATGACCCGTATGCTTGCAGTATAAATTTAAAACAAGATCATGCATCTTCTTTTGCGACCTTTTCAAGCCTCCTGTGTCAAAGCGTTCCAACTTCACGATGTCATGCGACATTTGTTGAAGATTCTTTGTCACCATCTTTGCTCAAAACTTGCTTTAAGATTGTTGGTTTTATGGTTCTAAATCTAAAGGAATGAAATGTGTAGAGGAGACCTACTACTTATTGCTTCAAGGCGAGTTCTCTCTATCCTTGAAGCAATTTCGCCCCTACCGTTCGATATAACATAGTGCATAGAGATTATAGCGAATCACTTCCCAAGATACAATGAAGGAAACGATTATCAACACCGTACTTAGTGGTGATTATTATTATTATTATTATTTTAAAGTTGACTTAAAAATTATGGGATAAGCCTATTACTTCTTAAATTATTAAAAAAAATCAAAGATTGTTGGGTATGCTTTTTCATATTTCAAGTAGAACACTGTGATCAAACATTGGACATTTGTACTCCCTATAATTGTCTGTATGTTTTTACTTCATCCCATCCTTCTTTACAAAACCAAAAAGAGAAACAATATAATCTTTCCATTTGCACTTGTGCATAGACAAATTACTTCTATGCACATGTGCATACCCTACAAATCAATGGTTATTAGGGTGTTCCTCAGTTTTTCATTTTTTTTACGGTTTTCCCCTAAACTGATTTATTTGTTGCATTTTGTCCACGTGATTGAGTCTTGGATGTTAATTTTCTTACAAAACAGCAGCAAGTAGAAGTTGCAGCGAAACCAACAGTAGAAGCACGTCAGGGACAGCAGCCACATCATTCTCTCAGACCCAAGAAAATGCACACATCGAGGGATTACACACACCATGTAACACCCCACATTTAAGGGTGGTTTGTAAAGTATGTAAAAGTTGAGGACTAAAAAGGATTGATGATAGAAATAGAGTAATGGAAGGGATGTTGAAAAAGTCAAGTGAGAGACGTGAGTCATGGAGAGACAGACTTAGTCTCTGCCGAAGTTGGGGGAGAATTCGGTTGTGGAGTTTATCTCCAACAACAGAGTTTAATCTCTTTTTTTTTTTTTTGGGGGGGGGGGGGACCCAGATAAAAGGAGAAAAGGAAAAGGGGAGATTTTTCTATTCATTGTTCCTGTGAGGTTCAAGAAGAAAAGAAAACGAGAGAAATTGGCAAAGGTCTAGCAAAAAGACTTAAAACTTATAGTTCAGAGTTATAAAGTCTGAAGACTTATACTTCAGACTTAAGACTTACATTTCAGAGTTAGAAACTCTGAAGACTTATACTTCAGAGTTAAGACTGTAAGTTCAGAGTTAGAAACTCTGAAGACTTATACTTCAGAGTTAAAGAGTTACAGTTCAGAGTTAGAAAGTCTAAAGACTTATACTTCAGAGTTAAGACTTACAGTTCAGAGTTAGAAAGTCTGAAGACTTATACTTCAGAGTTAAGACTTACAGTTTAGAGTTAGAAAGTCTGAAGACTTATACTTTAGAGTTAAGACAGATTTCTGAAGTTTTTATGAAGATTATGCTATTTTATGATAAACATTTGGATTTGGTACAATATGGTATAGAATTGAGCATGAAATGGTATAAATGGCTATTTTGGGACTTGAAAGTCAATGTTTTTACCCTGTTTTAGAAAAATTGTATAAAATCATAGAAAAATCGTATAAAGATTAGTACAGTGGCATTTGAAAGGTATGAATGTTTAGTTTATTTTTATAGAGACGTCATGATCTATTTAGAGCTTTAAGATGGGTAAAAAGTGCACTTCGTACAGTGCTGTCAAACTGAATCTTGACAGCCTGTAACTGCTGTGTTGCAAAATTCATATAAAATCAAAGAGAACTCCTGTAGATATGAGGTCAGTTCCATTTTGAAATATAATCGAGTCTATTTTAATTCATCTTTAGAAGTCATTGAGTAATTTTGAGGTTAAGTGGGGTAAAACAGGGCTAGAACACAGTGCTGTAATAGGAAAATTGAAGTATGAAAGTTAACTAGTCATGGGGTTAAATTGAGTTATATGCATCCAATGCTCATGAAACTTAATGTACATACTCCAGGGGGTATTTGGAGCTTGTTTGGTGCTTCTAGAAGGTATCTTAGATAGGATCCCTTAAAACGACTTTAGATAGGACCTTTTATTTTTGGTCTTATATATTGTGCCCTATAGAGTAATCTAATAGGACGCTTTGAAAGTGATGGCGTCCTAAAAACTCAATTTTATTGTAGTGGCTGTCAGCGATAGCTGACCCCTTTCAGCGACAGTTGAAGCTGTTCAACGACAGCCTTGTACAAACCTTCAAGTGACGGCTAACGAAAGCTGAAAAACACAAGACTTAGTGAAATTTCTAAGTCTTTTGCAACCATGCGAGACGATCTAAGGTGATAGGGGTAACATTTGTAAGTGTGCATTATGTTTATCATTGTAAGAATCTGAAGTTATTTCCTCATGAGCATTTGGAAAGTCTCACATCATTGGGAGACTTGTTCATAATTATCCAAGTATTGCTTACTCATTTCCTTTTGGGTTGTGGCCTCCTAATTTGAAAAGCCTAACAATATGATGCTTAAATAAGCCCATGTCAAAATGGGGGATTCAAAATTACCCAACATCACTAACAAGTTCAGGAGTAGTTTCATTTGCTGCAAATGCAAAAGATGTGACTTCAACATCGTTTCTTCTTCCACCATCTCTAATGACTCTAGTGATCAGTAATTTTTTATGGAGGTGGAATTAGTTTCAGAGATCTTATAACGCCTCCCCTGCCTTGAGAACCTTGATATCTGAAAGTTGAAGATCTACGGGAGACAAATACTACCGGCACATCCTCTTTGAGAATTGAGGTGCATCGGTAGAAAAGGCAACTACAAGCTGACTAGCGGCTGATCATTTCCCAAATCCTTGATGTTGATGTGAATTATTTGATCATGGTACGTCATCTATGTCTCTTACAGAGTCAATAAAAAAGGTGGTGGTTTTTGGTGGATTGCTTAATGAATATTTGAATCATTTTATGGTCTAGTAGTATCATGTTATAGGCGTTATGCCCGACCTTCAAAAAACAGTAAAGTTTAAAACTGTATTTTGTTTCAATTGAGAATATTTGAGATTCTTTGTGGATGGAAGTATTTTAAAGATTTAAATAGGTTAGACTTCATTTTAATAAATATTTTGAAAAAAACAAGTAGAAAAATATGAAACAGTTGTATATATGGAAATTTCATATGATATACACATATTGGTGAGGCCTTTTATATATATCTTGATTCTTTTCCTTGGTAGGACCATTGTATATGTATAAGTATCTAAAAGCATGGTTGGTTCTATTTATTGTATTTTGTCCCCATAATTGACTTTTGGATGTTAATTATATACCTAAAAGATGGAATTGAGTGAACGATGAAACTTTTATGTTTGGTGTGTTGAAACTTGAAATCTTGTTGTAACTGCAGCCTCCGTGAGTATTGGCTTAAATCTGAACACGATAATAACAACCTTGTTTCTATTGTCATAAATAGCAGCCTCTTTGTGTTCAACGGATCCTAGAGTAGTGTGTAAGGCAGCTAAAGCAGAAGATTAAAACTTGCAATACATTGTTGCAGAAGATTAAAACTTACAGCACATTGTTGCAGAAGATTCCATGTTTTGATGTCTCTTGCGTAATTATTGGATATGCAATCTCTCCTAGGAAACAAACCGAAATGCCTGATCCTTCAACAAAATCCAACTACACACCAAATCTTTCTTCACTCCATGACATTCTAGCAGAGTTCTAACTTTAGCCGCATCTTCCCACATACCTCTTTCAACATATATATTTGAAAAAAGCACAACCATCCCAGCATATAAAGGCTGCGTACCAGAAAGCTTTCATGCTCCCATTTCCCCGAGTTCAAAATTTTCGTGGACCCATGACAACTCAGCATCGTTTCCCACGTATATGCTGGAAACTCAAGTGGCAAATGTTTAACCAATTCACATGCTTCGGCTAACATCCCTTTTATACCAAGAACATCAATCATGATTGCATAAGTGAATTGCTTCCCCCCAACCGTGTACCCAGGTTATCCACAAACAGAAATCAAACCAGTAAACATTGCCTGATCGGGTTTGATTCTGTTTTGAAGAATTTGGGAAGCATTTTTTGTTCTGATACGTGCAAATCATTATAGTCCAAGTGGTTCAATCTTTATCAGGAATCATCTTGAAAAAGATCCGAGCTTTAAGCAATATTTTTGTTGCTGTGCATATCTGAAGGATCGTGTTCTACGATACTATATCACGCTTTGGCATCTTCTTCAGAAGTTCGAGAGCGTCTTCTAAGGTTTC